CTTCGCACACTGCCCTCGCCTGACCCTCAGCACGACCCTCGAGCCTCTCGAAGACAGCTCTCTGGTCTAGATGCAGAGTCGGGAAAGAGAGCCTAAGGAGGACCTGCTCGAGTCCCAGCACTGGTCGGTGGCCCGCGCCCCGGTGCCAGGCCCTCGAGGGTCGGGAGGCCCGGGCCGGTGTCGCAGGCCGGCTACACTCGAGGAGGGGTACCCGGAGTTTGGTGCCCCCGGTCGAGGCAGGAAAGCACAGTGCGGTGACATCTACCACTCTAACACAGGCCGATTCGGTTTCTCCACTCCAGACCTGCCATGGGCGTTTTTCATCCGGTTATTCTACCTGTTCTGATTGACCACCTGTGCTGGGACCACGGTGGTGACTGGCAGACAGAATTCCTGTCTGTCCCTGAGGAGCTGAGTTCCAGTGGGGCTGACCAGGAAACCAGCAGCTGTCATGCGGGGCGGGTGGGTGAGGGCGGTCTAGTGGGGGGAACTGCATGACCTGAGGGCCAGAGAATGGCCGAAACCCCCAAGCACTCTCTTGCTGGAGGGTGGGTTCATGGGGGGAGACACAGCCTCACGGCCTGGCGGAAAGCGGAGAAGGGTTCAAGCTGGGGGCTGCAGTGGCCAGATCTGTTTCAGAAATGTTTCATGCTGTGCGTGGAGGTCCCCTGTGACCACTAGCTGTAGAGCCAGGGCGGGTCAGTTTCATGACCTTCCCAGGTCGAGCGGACCCGGGCCCGCCTGGGAGGCCGGCGAGTCCCAGCTCACGTCCGCCTCGGCTCCGCCAGCTGGTGCGCACAGCCAGGCGCCTTCCGTGTGCTCTTGCTGCGTGTTCATCCCAGCGCAGGGCTGAGTATTTCCGTCCACTTCCAGGCGTACTCACCTGTATGTGTTTGTGACATTTGTTAACAAAGCAGTTGCACTGTAAAGGGAACTTTCAGTCTAAGTCAAATTCTGCGCAGAAGTGGGGGGCGAGGACTCCTCAAGCAGAGCGGCTGTGCGCCCTTGGACTCTCGGTGGCTGCGGGGTGTGCGGTCCTGTCATGAGAGCATGACAGGAAGTGTCCCTGGAGTGCGTTCGGCCGCTCCGCCTTTCGCACTGGCCTGGACTGCTGAGGCCCCCAGAGCCCGTGTGCCGTGCCTCGGCGAGTCCTTCCAGGGCCGGGGCTGGCACCGGAGCTGCCGTCTCAGTGTTCGGTGAAGGCAGCTCCTGCAGCCACAAGGCCGCCACTTCCTTCCAGTTGGAAGCTGCTCTCTGCTTTGGCTCAGAGCGATGCTTCTCTTTGTCTCCTGGTGGTGGCAGCAGTCCCGGGTGGGTGGGGGCTGGGCTGCCGTTTCTCTCATCAGTAGCGCTTTCAGATGGCAGGATTGCTGTCAGGCTGTGATGGCGGTTGCTGCCCAGGTGCCCTTGGGGTCTGCATCCACCTGTAACTGGTGTTGCTGCGCAGGTGCCGTTGGGGTCTGCATCCACCTGTAACTGGAGCGGGGGCACTGAGGTCCCCCCTTCCCGCAGAGCATGGGCTCAGTGTGAGTTTTTACTGGTTGTCATTCTGCGGGATGTGACTACACCGTTTAAGACGTGGTGTCCTCCCTGTAAGGCTATTAGCCAGGGTCCTGCAGAGAAGCGGAACCAGCAGAGCTATGAAGAGTTATGAGGGGGCTTCTGAGCCACGCTTCTCTTGCTCAGGCCTGCTTCCATGTCGGAGCTGTCCTTTCCCTTATAACCGAGCTACTGCAAAAAGAATTATGACGGACTGGCTTACATGATTACAGAGTCCGAGAAGTCTCATGACCTGCCATCTGCAAGCTGGGGGCCGGGGACAGCTAGGGGAGGGCGGGCGGCGTAGAACCAGGAAGCCGGTGGCCCAGGGCTAGAGGAGGTGGCCGTCCGGCTCACCAGAGGAGAGCGAGTCTGCCCCTCTGCCTGGCCGCTCCGCTGGGCCCTCGGTGGGTGGGGCAGCATGACCCGTGTTGGCTCGCCCGCCGGCTCAGATGCCAGGCTCCTGAAGCACACTCACGCACACACCCAGAAGTCATATTTACTGGCTGTGTGGGCAGCCTTTAGCCCAGTCAAGGTGACACATCAGGTTAACCCTCCAGGTGTGTGCCTTCTAGGACGACCTCACACCGGGGCCACACCAGTGCTGTCCACGGTCTTCTCGGGTGCTTTGGTGCAGGGGAGGCACTAGGGACCCCCGCAGCCCTGAGAGCGACATTCGTCACCCTGGAGGGGCCTGCGTGGGCTTTTGGACCCAATTCTGTTGTGCCTGGGCTCGGACTTGGCCCCAGAGCCATCTTCACACCTGGGGGAAGACGACCCCACAAGGGACCTCAGCCTGAAGGGACCCAGAGGAGCTTCCTGGGGGTCCCGACTGCTGCTGGCAGCGGGAGCTGGGTGGAGGGGTCACTCCCCGTGGAGGAGCAGGGCTTTCCCTCGGTGGCTCGGGCGATCGGTCCCCCGTAGACTGTGCCGCAGCTTCATGCGCCACACGCTCCTCTCGCTGCTCTTCGTGGAGGTAGGGGGTGCCCACCTGGCTTCTCACGTGGAGTGGACGGTGGGCGCCCCGCCCGAACGGGCTTGTTCTGCCACTGAGGGGCTCGGCCACCGCAGCCCTCGGCCTGTTGTATGACACGTGCACCACAGACAATATCCTTACTCATTTCCTTACGTGGAAAACGTCTCTTCCCGCGTGCTAGTGTGTGCTTTTGTGCCTAACCTGTCGACCCGCTTGAAGCTAGGAAGGAACTTGGAAATGGGTCCTAGGTCAGTGCCTCCTACAGAAGAACCTTCCTCTGTCTGTTAATTTCCGAAGTGAACGAGGCTTGAAGTTGTCTAATCATTGAGAAGCATCTGAGTCGGAGACAGTCGTCAGGCTTCAGGCGTCAGGACAAGTGCCTCCTACAGAAGAACCTTCCTCTGTCTGTTATTTCCGAGGTGAACGAGGTTTAAGGTTGTCTAATCGTTGAGAAGCATCTGAGTCGGAGACGGTCGTCAGGCTTCAGGCGTCAGGACGTTCACGTGTGGCCTCAGGCCTGCCTCGCAGGGCGTCTCGTGCTTTCTGCGGCTCTGAGCACGTGCTGTTCTGTGTCCCGTGGCGAGGTGAGGTACAGAGCCACCTGACAGACAGAGCTCTCCCGTCTGTGGAACAGCGGCAGATGGTTAAGGCGCTGTCCTTCCTGCTCTGGTGTTTTTGGGAGGACGGACTGCCCTTCCAGCCCTGAGCCTGCTTCTCTGGCCGTCTCCACCCCGTTCGGCCGTGCTGGCGCGGGAGGCGCCCAGGTCACCCCCTTGGCCTTCGCCTCACCTCCGTGCCTCCCTGGTGACTCATGATGGCCCGACATCGGAGGCCCTGGATAAGGTTTATCGCGTGTGCCTTGGAGCCGAGTGCTCTCAGTTCACGGAAGACCAGTTATCAAAAAGACTTCAAAAGTGAAAATTCCCATGAGAAACTCCCTGCACCTGGCCCCGCCGCCTGTGGCCACTGTGTCGGGAAGGACGAGGAGGACGTGCGCCCCTCCCTGGACGTTTCTGGAAAGGACTTGCGGCCGGGCGTGTGAGGCAGCCGCCCTCGCCCGACTCAGTACTTAGAAAACCGGGAGAGCCACCGAGCAGTCGGAGGAGTGACCGGAACGCTGCTCTCCCGAATCCCTGTCTGTCCCCGCGGCGTTCGCCATGCCTACTTTGCCGTGGCTGCTGGTTTGTTTTCACCGCACCGTTTGAGAGTAAGTCGCAATGTGGCCGTCTACCCCTCAGTTCTTTGGGGTGTCTCTCCTGGGCCGAGGACTCGTTACGTAATGGCTCTGTGACGACCAGACCCTGGCCAGTTACCAGCACACGCGCTGCCCAAGGACCTGATGTGGCGTGCAGGCTATGGGCACAGCCTGGTTTACCCAGGGTCCTGGTGTGCCCCCTGCCCCCGTCCTGCCCACGTCCCGCCCCTGCGCTCTGGGCGCATTCAGTGACTCTGTCTCAGTCTCTGCCCCTCCGTCACCTGGCCGCGTCCTCCCCTCTCTGGAGAGCCTGCTGGAAGGGCCCTCCGCCGGTCAGCTGGCCATGTCCGGTTTCCTTCACCTCCGCTCAGATGCGTTTCGACTCCACCACTGGGTGGCTGTCTTTCTCCCTCCCCACCCCCAGGAGGCACCCGCTGTCACTTGTCGTGTGGTCACAGGGTATCCTGGTGATGCTGTGATCACTTCTCAGGTGGCATTGTCTCGTCATAGGTGGTGATTGAAGTGGGTGGCGCTGTGAGCGGGCACCGTGGTCTGGGCGTCCCCGTTTACCGTGACGGTCGCAAAGTGGAAACTCATTTCCTTTTGCCAGTTGCCTTCCCTGGGTTCATTCATTTCGTGTCAGTGTGAAATCACGGACTGCTCAAGCGGTCACAGTCCCTTACTGTCATTGACTTAGGGTTTCAGTTGTCCTGCTGCGACGCAGAGGACCCCTTCCGAGCTGGCTTCTGGGTTCCTGTACCCATTAGCTCATGCCACCTTCTGGCACAGCAGGCTGCCCAGGGCTCTGTCCTTGCTCTGCCCCAGTTCTGGATCAGCCATTTCTCCAAGGAGCGCGGATGCCTTTTTGGGGAGCAGCGTCTGGAAACAGGCCTGGGCACCACATGTGCCCCCCCGGGTGCCGGATGTCGTCTTCACTAGGCCCTTCGGTGGCAGAGCCGGGGTCGGGTTTTCAGGGCCCATCACCCCAGCACCACAGGGGTCTTTCCCTCTGCCTGCCAGCGTTGCCTCTGAAAGGGCAGGGTGCCGCCACCCTGCCTCCCTTAGCAGTGCTGGAGAAACCGACGTGTTCTGGGGGGTGTCAGGTTTTTTCACTTTCCTGGGGCTAAATAAAATCTGTTGTTCTGAGGACTTAAACTGGTTTAAAAGAAGCTTCAGCAGAAACCTGGTAGCACGCGGCTGGAGGTGCCGAACGCCGTCTCTCTAGGGATAACTGCTGCAGAGTGATAGTGGCAGGGTGGCTTCCACTTCATTTTGGATAACGTGGGGTTTTATTTAGAGAAACGGAACGTGGAAGAACTGGGCTGTGGAAGAACTCTTTCAGATCACGTCCCGCTTAATCGTGCCGTGAACCAAAAGGTGTAACTTGAAGCTAAAGCTTTTCCCCTATGTTTTATCCTGAAAATCTTCAAACACACAGCAAAGCTGAAAGAACAGTGTGGGGACCGCCCCGCACCCAGCACTCGGGCGTTGCCCTTAGCGGTCCGCTGGCCGTCACCTGCCCAGGTGCCCGGCCGGCCTGGCCCGCCCCACGTGCCTTTAGAAGGAAGTTACAGAGTCGTGTAACTTACTTCACTGCGCGTGTCGGTAACTTGAGCTCCACGTTCGTCCTTTCTTGAGGAAGGTTGTACCTACGACGGAACGCAGAAATCCTGGTGTGACGCTGGACGCGTTCCGAGGCGTGCCAACCTAAAAAAAGGTCTGTGAAGCCAGAGGTCACGACGTTTGTCCGAGATCAGTAAGGATAGCTGTTCGGGAGGCCCCGGTTCCGGCAGATGCCCCCATCGTGTCCTGGCGAGGAGACGAGGGTGGGGGGCGTTGACGAGGAGGGCAGGGGACGGTCACATCCACGGCAGGGAGGCGGTTCTGGAGTGCAGGTAAGCTGACACACGGACGCGAATTCTGAGCAGTGTTTCTAATTTTCGATCCAGTCGTCATAATACTTGTTTTCTTGTCATCTTTGCAAACAGTTTTGGGGCGCAAGGGTGCTCTTTCCACAGTGCGAGCTTGCCTTAGGGGTGGGCTGGGGCCAGTAGCGGCGCATGGAGTGCCCCGGAACGTGTTGGTCACCGTGCCCTCCTGCCGTGGTGGCGTGGCCTTTGGCCCCCCCGCTGGAGCTGCAGTGCTGTGAAGAGCCCGGGGCGCAGGTTGGGGGTGTCTGGGGAACCGGCCCGGGGCCAAAGTCTGGCTTCAGTCACCCGGGCTGGTGTCGCTGTGGCCTTTGGTTCCAAACAGAGTGTCTGCTGCTGAACTGGTGGCTTCAGCTGGCACCAGTGCCCACGCCGTGGCTCACCGCCTCCGAAGGCTTCCGGAAGACCCCTGTGGGCAGCACTGGGCACGGTGTGGTGCCCTCATGGGGCCCGCTGCAGCGGGGCTCAGTCCCTACCATCTGTGCCCCTTGGGGCCACGGTGCCCGGAGAGGACCCTGTGCATGCGTAGTTCTCAGTGATTCGTTTCTTCTTCTCCCCGCAGCTTGTTCTCAGAACACAAACAGAACCTGCCAAGAGTGCCTGAAAAATGTCTCTGTAAGTAGCACGCGGGCGTCACGTGACCTGGAAGCGGCCGCTTTCCCTAGCACAGAGGGCCCCGGGTTCTGCCCTTGGGGTGTGGGGTGTCATTGTGCTTGGCATTAAATGTTATTTAGCCTTTTTCGGCATAGCCAGCCGTCCTGTGAAGGCTGCAGCTGCCACCTGAGCATCAGTGACATGCATGTCGACTCCTGAAACGGGTGTAGAGATTCTGAGGGGCACCATGGCTGGGAGGTGTCAGCTGGCTGGGACGCGCCGGCCTCCCTGAGGCGGTGGGCTTGGTGTTGGTGGCAGTGCCATTCAGCAGGGGGCGCGGGGGCGGGAGCAGAGAGGACGGGCTCAGGAGCCACACTTGCCTCTGATCAATGACCGTTCGCCTGTGACCAAGGCCTCGTGTCAGTGTCGTCAGACCTTAGAGGACTGTTGGGGACAGGCTGTGTGTCCGTCTTGCAGATGGGGGCTGCTCTGGAGCGCAGGCCCGAGGCTCGTGGGGCCACCTCCTGAGTGGCCGTCCCGGGTCTGACACGCAGCCGTGTGCAGCTGGCCATCAGAGGCGATGGCGCGGGGAGCCTGCCACGGTGTCGGGAGTGTCACGGGACTCGCAGGGACAGTTCTGCTTTGTCGGGGCCTGCGGCCTCCCGAGCTGCCCCCGGTCCAGCGGCCAGGCTGGGGGCGAAAGCCTTCCATGGGGCCTTGGTCCGGGGCTTGGGGAGGCGGTCTCCCCGCTCCCACCGGGGCTTCCGTGCATGCGTGTTTCCTCTCCCCGGCCATGGGGCGTGTGACACGGGCCAGGAGAGACACACTGGGGGAGGCCGCTGTCCGAGCTCTGGCTGTGCTTCACCAAGGGTCGCTCCCGCGGTAGGTGTGGGTCGTAGGGCGTGTGTCTGCTGATGACCCTGGACAGGTGAGCGTCCTGCGGCTGCGGGTGTGGCCGCTGCGGTCCTCACAGCGGCACTTTCTCTGTGGAGCTGTTTTTGGTGTCTCGGTTTTTTGGTTGGAAGTCACGTTAGCCGTGAAGGTGGCCCGGGGGCCGTGTGACTGCGTAGTCCCTGAGCACCTCTGTGGCATTGCCCTGTTTCGCCCTCGCCTCTCCGGGAGGGTGGTCGGGCTGCAGGTGAGGGCCGGGTCCGGATCACAGTGGGGCGGGCGCCTCATCTGAAGGCCGGACTCACACTCCGAATGCAGCCAGAGCAAGTTGGAAGTACGGGGTGCGGGGCACACATGCGTGTGGATGAAAGGGGTGGGCCCGTGGGTGGATCTGGGAGCTCACAGAAGTTTCTGGAAGGATGCGCGTGCGCTGCCTGGGAGGTCTGACACAAGCCTGAGGCTGCACGTCCTGCTGGTACCGCTTGAACCGTGCACCTGCATGTCACTCCACTGACCGCACAGACCAGAACCACCGCGACACCACCCACGAGAGCCTCAGGGCTTCAGTAAAACTGCTGTGGAAAATCGGAAAACCAGGCACTTGAAACTTGAGCTGTTTGAAAATGGGGATTTGCCAATAACTGTCAAGCCAGGACAAAACCAAAATGCGCGATGGCCTCAAACAGCCAGCATGGGCAGGGCCTCGCCGCTGCTTGTCATGTGTGTGCCGAGCACTCTGTGAACGCAGCACACCGAGACGGGGGGTCTGTAAACAGGCCTGGTGGGCCCGGCTGACTGTTCTTTGTAATAGTTTACCCTGACCTGGGAAAAGAAAATACCATGACTTTCTATCCTGTAAAATCTCCAAGGAAGAAACTCAGCAAAACTGTTACCTTCCTGACTTAAAATGACAGCCCAGGCCTGAGGTGCGGGCGTGTGCCTGTGGCCCAAGCCCCCCTCCCTGGCAGCCAGCAGCTAGCACCAGCTCAGGGCTCCCCGCACGCAGGGTGGACGTGCTGGCCCCGCTGTGAGCACCGTGCCCTGAGAGCTCAGAGCATTTGCGAGGTCCCGGCCCTGAGGTCCCGGCAGATGCCCTTGAGCCTTGGTCACCCCACCTTCCCAATGGCCGGGGACAGCGCCACTCACTCCGTGCCCTTGTAGGGGTCAGAGCTGGGGTGTTTACACAGCGATACTGTGGTCACAGAGGAACACTTAACAAGTACTCGGTGAGCTCCAGTCACGGGCCAGGCTCAGCCCGCCTGCCAGGGACCCTCCAGTGACACTCCCAGACATCTGCCATCCCGCAGACAGGTGCTGCCAGACAGAAGGGGGCGGGGCAGATTTAAGGAGGTTGCGGGGTGGGGGGGTGGGCTCCTGGAGTAGCCCCGTGAGCCCTGGGAGGAACGTTCCAGGCTGAGGAGCAGGCCTGCAGAGGCCCAGGGCAGTGGACACCCGGCGTCCGTCACACCAGCATGAGGCCGTGTGGCCGTGCAGTGTGTCTGATGGGACAGGTTTGAGTAACATGGCCTTGGCAAGTGGGACGTGTTGAGCTACCGTGTTGAGCTACCGTGTTGGGCTGGGGGCCGAGGCCATTGCCAGCCTCCCAGGGCGAGCGGTCGGGGTGGTCGGTGGTAGAGGCGGTGTAGGGGTTGGGTGCGGGACAGTGCGGTCCTTTGGTGTTCACACTGAATTTCTCACATTGCTCTGATGTTCATCTCTCTCAGTGTCTCTGGTGCAACACCAACAGGACGTGCTTGGACTACCCAGTGGCAAAACTCCTGCCACCCGCCTCCCTCTGTAAGCTGAGCTCCGCGCGCTGGGGCGTGTGCTGGGGTAAGTCCTCGTCCCCGTCGTCTTCCTGGACAGCCAGTGCCATTTTGAACATTCTGGTTGTGCTCAGTTCACCTGAGCTGCCAGGAATGACAGTCCCCGTAATTGTTTGACGCTGCCAGCAGGAAGTCGGATTGCCAGTGGGAGCTTGCGGGGTCCGGAAGAGCAGCTGGGGGCCCCCGGGTCTGGAGGCCCTCCTCAGGCCGGCAGCCTTGGCTCTGCACTGGGTCGCCCCACGTTCTTGGGTTCCAGTCAGGGTGGGGGAGGGGATGAGGGCTGCTATTTGGATGGCTCAGCACATTTGTCACCTTGACACCTCCTGCGGTTCTGGAGGGGCTCCGACTCCCGAGGGAGGGGTCCCTGCTCGGCGTGGCCACGACCTGCCGTTCCTCAGGTGTCCCTTTGATTGCCTGTGGCTGAGTCACGGGCATTCCTCCAGCAGGGACATCAGCCCTCCGTGTGACCCAAATCAGTTTCCAGTTAGCCTTTTAAATTGGTGCTGTGCGTTGCTCCATGGAGCTCTTTTTACATAGTTGGGTTTATCATTCCTTCCTTTTATGGCTTCCAGTTTGGGGCCAGGCAGAGGCTGTCTTCTTAAGCTGCATAAAGGAGCCATGTTTTCTTGGGGTGCTTTGCGGCTTCAGAGATGTGTTTGCATCTTAAGTTCTTCAGCAACTTATTCCTTACTTATGTGGCTTTTTTCTAATTTCCATCTTAGAAGCCATTAGCCTCTGTCAGAAATACTTTTGGTGTCGAAGCCCCAGAGGCTCCCGAAGTGTGTGCGTGGTGGTCGGGTGCCTGCTGTGTGGGCGTGTGTGGGTGCGCACACGCGCGACCGCTGTGTCCCCCAGCTGGCTTCCTGTCCGCTGTCCTCACACCAGAACGGCTTCGCTGGGCCTTGCCGCCCTCTGCTTCTGCCTGACCGCTGTGTTCTCGTGGAACCTCTCCCTGCCCACTGTCCCACTGTCCCACGGAAGCTGCTCCTGGACCAGGGGACCCTGGGCGTGTGGAGCAGAACTGTTTAAGTGGAAGCACCACTTCTAATGGGGTGCATGCGTGTTGGGTCCCCCCCAGACTGCAGTCTGCGGCGTGGACACACAGGTAGACAGAGGCCCGGATAGCTGCCTCCCCGCACGCACACGTGGTCAGCCTCAGCGGGCCTGCAAGCATTTTCCAGAGCAGCTGTACCTGCTTACGCCTCCTCCAGGCCGCGTGGCAGTCCAGCTGTCCCAGGTCCCTGCCAGCCCTTGGGGCACTCGTTGTCATCTTCACGTGGTCGTCTGGTGGGCACGAGCGGCAGCCTACGGTGATTGTGAAGTGCATTTCTCTAGTGACACATGGCGGGGGCCCCTTTCCAGGTTGGGGGAGTCTCCAGAACAAAAGTCCCGCCCCAGGGCTGCTGGGCTATCGGCCGAACCCTCGACACACAACGCCGGACAGATGAGATGCACGGCAGTTTATTCGTCACCTGTAGTCGCAGCCCAGAGGAGGGAACGTGGGAACGGGCCAGGGGCTGTGGGAGGAGGCCCCGTCCCTGGAGAAGATGTGAGCCGTTCCACAGGCTGGCAGGAGACGGACACCTGCCACTCGGGTATAAGCAGGAGCTGGGCCTGGTCCCCACGCTAAGGCTGGGTCTGTGGCCGGAGGGCCTGGTCTGGAACAGGTGCGAGGGAAGCTCGTGGCTGGGCCTTGCGAGGCCCCTCTGGTTTCGTCAGATGTCGGGGTTACACGCCACACTAAATTTAGGGCTCATACCACAGGTGCTTTTATTCTTAGACTTTAGAATCATTTATCTAATTTAGACAAAATTGTCCTGGGGTTTTAATTGCAACGACCTTAAATATGTATGTTTGTTTGGAGAAAAGCAAGGTCTTTGCCGTTTTGAACCTTTGCCCGGAAGCCAGGTGTGGCGCCCTTGGCCGGCCGCCCCTCACGTCCTGTCGTGGGGGCCGCAGATTGTGCGGGGTGGCGGGGAGGGGAGCCCACGGTTTTGTTTCCTGTTGCCATGAGGTTTCTGCTTTTATTTATTTTACAAGTGCTTTTGGCCGCTGAGCAGGAAGGCTATTCTGGGGGTAGGTATTTTTTTAGAGCCAGCCATCTTGTTGACCTCATTGGTGTTAAAGTTGATTATTTTAGAGTTCTCTAGCTAAAAAATTACACTCTCTGCCAGCGAGGGTCTTCCTTCTAATTCTACCTATCGGAACTCTTTCCTGTGATTCAAGTCCATCTAGAGCAGGTCAAAGAAGAACACAGTAAAGCTCAGAAGGCATCTGACCCGATGTCCCTTATTCCTGATTTTAAAGATAACTGAATAAACACTGAGCGAGCACTGTGCCGCCCGCCGCCAGCCCGGAGTGTGTCACAGGTCCACACAGGCACAGAGTGCAGTTCACGGGGGCACGGGGCACTGGTGTCTGCCTTCTCGTCCCTGTCCCTACGGCGGGACACGCGCCCGCCAAGCCCCACCCCGGCCACAACCCAAAGACCAGTGAGGTCAGAAACGGTTGGCTCTGGGGGCACATTTGGCCTCCCCTTCAGGGAACAGACAGGACCTGCCATGGGACGAGCCCAGCATGGCCACACTGCTGTTGGCGCGGTGGCCGCTGAAGCCTCTGCAGTGGCCATTCTACCTGGATGACTGGAGACACCTGTAGGAGCAGTGTTACAGCATCCTTTGCTTGGCTGGGGTTGGATTTGAATACAGACGTGTTGACGAGATTTAATTTGTAAATCATTAAGAGAAGTTGAAAGGAATTATAAACTCTGTCTTAAGTTCGTTTTTGTCTCAGGAGGCCGGTCAGGACCGGGGGTGGTAAGCTTGTTTGAGGCCGCTTAGGTGGCGTCTTCATGCCCCTGGCTGCAGGTCATGGTGGCTTGCGGTCAGGGGTTTGCTCCTGGCGGGGAGGGCAATGTCCTTGACCTTGACACAGATAAGTTGCGTCAGGCACAGACTCTTTCATGAGCTCCACGGAGTTGAGGCTTGAGGTGTTTTAGGGGAGTCTTTCTGGTCGTCAGTTTTTCTTGGGCTTAAAACATCTCGGTCCCTGGCGGTGGGAAAAGCTACCTGTGGCCTCGGTCCGCAGTTAGCAGAATCGTTAGCAGTGACAGCTGCGTGCTGACAGGTGCCGCCCTGTGGGCCTGGGTTCCGCGGGCTGCGCCCCTGGTGAGGGTTGCCACTTCTCAGGCGGGTCCCCACTCCGTCCCAGAGGCCCTGATGCGGCCCCTTTGTCTGCAGTGAACTTCGAGGCGCTGATCATCGCCATGTCGGTGATCGGGGGCAGCATCCTGCTGGCGGTCGCCATGTGCTGCTGCTGCTGCTGCTGCGGGACGAAGAGGAGCCGGAAGCCGGACAGAACCGAGGAGAAGGTCATGAGGGAGCAGGAGGGGCGGCGCATCCGGCAGGAGGAAAGGTGAGGCCTGGACTCGTCCCGCGCGGCAGCCCGCGGCGTCACGCTGCTGAGCCACAGCGCCCCAGGCCGTGGTGTGGGGTGAGGGGCGCGGTGCGGGGGCCCAGCCGCGGCCGGAGGGAGCCGGCTGGCAGCACCCCGTGCTAACGACGTCCGGGCCACAGGTCCTCGGTGCTGCGGTGGCAGGGCCTTGAAGGCCGTGCACCCCGCCTGCCTTCTTGACGAGCGCACGGAGGCTCGGAGGAAGGACACGTGGGTTGCTCGTCTGCCCGTGGCCGAGCTGGCTCTCTGTGCTGCCAGTGCTGACCAACAGCGCTCTGCTCAGAGCACTTCGGCGGGCGTGTGTGATGCGGCCGTAGGATGGGCGTTGGTCACCGTGCCTCCTAGACAAGGGACAGGGTGGCTCGGGGAGGTGCTGACTTGTCCAGACAGCCATTGGCGAGGCTTGAGGCTGGACTGGTTTCCATGCCGTCGCCCTGAAGCCATCTGCCCCTAAGCGCTAGTGTCCCCACGTACATGACCACCTCTAGGACCTGGCGTGAGATTTCTGCCGACCAGAACGTCCCCTGTATGTGACAGCAGAACGCCCAGCTTCAGACATTCGAATCGCTTTTACTGAATAAAAGATCGAATGGCACAATGTTGGGGCAGCCTCAGCACACTCCGCAATGCCATCCTGCCTGTCCCCGTGGCAGTGTGGCCCGGTGGCCAAACTCGTCCCCACTGCACCCGAAGGAAGCGACGGGGCTTCTTTTAAACTGACGCTGGAGTTTGGTGCTGAGCGCCGCCCTTTGACTTTCAGGAGAGCAGAGATGAAGTCGAGACACGACGAGATCAGGAAGAAATACGGTGAGTGAGGGCCGGTGGGTCCCCGTCCCGGCTGGGTGCGCGCTGCCCGGCGGCTTGGTCATCATTACGCTTCGGGAGGCCGTAGGGCAGGCTGTGGGCTCCCCAGGGACAGAGATGCCCCTGCTGCACAGGTTGTCCCGAGCAGAGCGGCCATAACTGACCCCACGCAGTGTCCTGAAGGACGGGGCCCGGGACGTGGTCTAAGCCAGACTTGTCCAGGAGCGCCGTGTGCCCACGAGGGTCGACGACACGGTCCACATAGGCCCCCGCCCGCGGCCCCCCCGGGGTGTGCTGCCCTCACTCTGCCTCTTGACGGTCGCGGCTGCGCCCCTTCCCTAAGGGTCAGCCCCACCGAGGCCCTGCTGCCAGTTGGGGTCTCGCCCTGGTGTGTTGGGGTTTGTGTTTGCAGGACGGGGGCGGGGCTGGCTGCCATCGGTGTTTGCGAACATTGAGTCTGCACCCGTGGTCAGCAGTTGCGCACGGTGGCGGTCGCGCCTCCTGCCCCAGCCGCGGCCACTCCCTCCGCGCCACACTGACGGCAGCCGCAGGGCCCCCAGCGCTCTGTTGCCCTTGACCTCATGACCCGGGGGTCCTGTGCCCACATGACGGGGGCCTGGCAGCCGTGCTAAATCTAGAATTTTCTTGGACTAATGCACTTACTGTGAAGTCCCCTGTGCGTACAAGGAAATAGCGTATTTTCACGGCATTTTGGGACCGAACCCACCGGTACGGTACAGCCGTCCCCTGCCTCCCCCCTCGCCCCCGTTCCCAGCTTTCTTCATCCGCACCCAAAGAATAGCACAGACGTCCGCAGTACACAGGTCCGTGGCTGTCGCTGCAGGTAATCACCTTGTGTGACACAGGCTCTTAAACATGGAGAGCATGTGGTGTCCCCAGCGCGAAGAGCGTTTCCAGCACCGCAGATTTATTTTACAGTTTAATGCACATTTCGCTGCACTTTTGCCGTCATACTTGACAGTTGAGTTGACGGTGGCCTTCGTTCTTACGTAGGCTTAATTCTTAGAGTCAATCAGCGTTCGTGAGGACGTTTAAAGTAAGATGGTTTTCTTTTCCTTTTTTCTGTATAGTATCAGCCAACCCCTGTGGGGAGAAATAAATACTGGCTTTACATTTCTTAATTTCTCTTTAAGGGAATCAGCAAGTAAGTCTTCACTTCTTAGGATCTTTTTTTCTTAAAATTACTGTTTTTGGTAAATTTTATTTCAATTTTTAAGTCACCTGTGTGGTTTGACTTTCAAGAAAAGGTTTCACATAGGATTTGAACGTGCTCAGAACACCCATTTTTCGTACGGCCTCAGTAAACCTTCGCATGAAGCTTCGCTGTAGTGCTTTCTTGGGTTTTGTCTCCTGCTGGTCGGGTGCGTTCGTAATCAAGTCCATTTTGCTTTCAGGTTTGTTTAAAGAAGAAAACCCTTACGCGAGATTTGAAAACAACTAGAGCACACTCCCCGCCCGGCCGGTGGCGCAGGCGCGCGGAGCGGCCTGGGGGCAGGCCCGTCCTGTCCCGTGGGCTCTGTCCCTTCTCTGTTTCCTATTTACTCGCTGCAGACCTCGAGCCCGCCTGGGGCCGTCTTCGTCTCTGCTGCCCATCTGAGGAGGACTCGGTTTGGGAGCTGCTCGCTGACTCCACAGCCTGACACCCTAAGGCCTGCTCGTCCTTCCCCTCCCGCTGCGGCCACCGGTCTGCCCGGCCCTGCGTTCCCCTCCGTCTCTCCCGGGCTTCACACGGCCCTGGGGCCGGGGCCGACCAGTCCCCGTCATTCCCCTGGAGGCAAGGGCGGCCTCGCTTCTGACCTGAGCTGCAGGGAAGAGCATTGAGAGGCGACTGCACCTGAGATCTTTTTAAAAATAATTCTTGGCGTTTATTTCCCCGCCTAGAAGATTGCACCAAAAAAACTTACCGTCAGAGTCGAGACCATTTATTGGGTAATTTTTAAATTTGCATCTTTACTAGAACGTGAAGGTTGTTTTCCAGTGAAAACGTGAATTATAAATGGAGTTTGAAACAACCTCCCTAAGGCATTCGGTGGGTGCTCCTGTGTGCCGGCAACAGCTGTCGGTCCCGCGTGCAGTCACCTGTCCTCTGAGGTGCTCTCCCGGGTCTCTGAGGCTCTCCCTGCCATGAGGTGGGGTGCGAGCTACGAGGAAGGCCCCAGGCCCTGTGCACCAGGAGGCGGGGGGCGGGGTCTCCACACGCCACACCCCCCGACCTGAGCCGCCCTTCTCTGTCCCGGGCATTCACGAGACTGTCCTTCAGTTTCTCATAAGGGCGTCGGTGGCCTCCAGGTGCCCTGTGGTGCCACATGCATGGTGGAGCCATTTCTTTCTGATCAGCGTCGGTGGCCTCCAGGTGCCCTGTGGTGCCACATTTCTTTCTGATCGAGAGACGTGGCTTCAGTATAGGCTGAGCGCGTGGCCGGGACGGCAGCAGTGACGTGCCTGGCCGCCGCTGTCCTTGAGTCTGGCCAGAGCCCCCTTTGCCCAGCTGCCTTGAATGAGGAAGCATTTGGCTTTGGGAAAGTCGGGTGCCCAGCACGTGGGAGACGCCACGCGCTCACCCCCCACGTAAGTTCATGGGCCGGTCAGTATGGCCGCAACAGCGCCAGACAGCCGACTGGCCTCTGCGGGCCTGTGCGGGAAGTAACCTCCGTACACACCGAGGCACTAACCTCTTGCAAAGCCTCCACCTGACTTCTCTGGCTTCTCTGACTTTTTCTCTGATTTCTCGGGCATTTTGTAGCAGTTCAGAGCCGTGTGAAACATTCCTGAGTACTTTACAGCGGCCGCACACGTCGATTCTCCGCTGTTTGTTCATAGGAGAAACTTTAACGCGTCACAACCTTCCTGTTAGTGCGGTAGTTGCCATGCGTGTGGCTCGCGGGCGCCTCGAGTCCAGTGTGTTGGGCGCCCCAGTGGGCCGGCCGCCCTGGCCCACGTGCCTTCTCCGATGCGTGCTGGGAGCAGCCGGGTTACAACCTCCAGGAAACTGTGATGTTTGGAGTGCCTTGATTCTTACCCATTTTCCAGTAAATGATTTAATACATGCTTTTGCTGAATATGCTTTGTGTCCCTGTGCTTCATTTCTCGGCGGTGTTAACATGATTATAGATGCACCTGGACTGACAGTGGGGTCACCTGGACTGACGGTGGGGTCGCCCGTCGTAAGCCAAGCATGCCGTTTACCCCTAACCTGCAAGCATCGTGGCTCAGCCTGGGCCACCAGCCTGCAGGGGGCAGAGTTGTCCATCGCCACGGAGACGCTGTCCAGGCCGTTCACCTTCTGGATGGCATGGCCGCCAGGGAGCTGCAGCTTGCCCGCTGCCCAGCGTCACAAGGGGGTGTCGCACTGTCTGTGCCAGCCCGGGAAAAGACCAAGTTCGGAATTGGTGATGCGGCTTCTGCTGGGTCCTATCACGTTTCACAGTTGTGAAGGGGAAGAATTGTAAGTCGAGCCCTCGGAAGTCGGGCCGCTGGGACTCGGAACGCGAGGCAAGTTAGGCTTGCCAGGTGGAGGCAGACTTCTGGGCCCGACTCCTGGTGCGCGAGGCCCATGTCCTCAGACTGTCTGGGTCCCCAGCCCGGCCAGCCCTGCACTCCTGTCCATGCCCCCCCCACCCCCGCCCCGGCCGTGTTTCCCTTCTCTGCTGGAATCGGATTCAGAGAACCCCAGGAGAAGGCAGCTCTGCCTTTGAACTTCGTGTCCGTGGCTCCCCTGTTTGAGACATCACTGTCGACAGACACTGCCACCCTCTGTCCTCCCTCCTGGGGTGTGGGGAGCGGCCAGTCCCTCTTCTGAGGTGCTGCCAGATCGTTTTACTCTTGTATCAGTCTTCAGGGCCCAGGACCTCCCTGTGCTGCATCAGTGTCCGTAGGCACACGCCTGTCTGCCAGTGGCCGCATAGGACACCGGAGCCTGCCCTGCAGGACCCCGTGGCACGCCACCCACTTCCTGTCAAAAGCACACGGGCTGTCAACTCCCGCTCTTGTTCTGGAACGTCTCGGTTACAGGCCCACATCTAGATGGGGGAGGTAGGAGGTCACATCTCTGTCCCCAGACGTGGTCCTGGGATGACCTTGGGCCTGGCGGGTCCTCCAGAGAATCCAGTCCCCATGGGAACCATCCGTCAACCTTGGACGCCCTTAATCCGCGGTCCCGGAGCGGCCGTCCCATGTTCTGGAGGCTGAGTGCTGAGCGGTTGCTGCCTGCGGAGAAGCCACTAAACGCCATCAGCATGACGGTCCCCAGGGATCTCCTCTGCGGGTTCTGGTTCTCTAAGCTGGCGGACGGGCACCTGGTCGACAAAGTGGATGCTTTGGTGGTGGGAGTGGCGTTGGAGTGAGGGTGGGGCGCTCGATGACGGGTGGCAGTGACCCCAGCTGTCGCTCCCGTGCTCTCTGGACAGTCTCGTGTTCCCGCGTTCTGCGTGTCCCGTCTGCTTTGCAGGGGGCTCGCTGGGCCGGGTGGAGTCAGTGAGCATCTCTGACAGGGCGAAGGTGTGGCACTTTCTTCCTGCCCCACGACTCCTAACTTCGCGCCCCAGTTTGACAGCGTCGCCATCTTCGTTTCCACAGCAGCTTTACAAAATCCCAAGGGCCAGCTCCAGTCACTCGGAGGGTCTCAGAGACTCGTGTTCAGAGGGCAGTGTGAGGAAAGGGTGCCACCCCGGTGTCAGCTCAGGTTCCTGCAGGGCCCAGGCCGAGGAGGGACACTGGTCTCTGATCAGAACCTAATCCAAAGCGGCGTCAACTGGGCAGAGCAGTTGACTCAGTCACTGTAAAGGGTCGTAACCCGGTGTGAGGAGTAGCCAGCATGAAGACAGTTAACCAGACAAAATAGTTAACCGGGCATGAAGACAGTTAACCAGACATTATGAATAGTTAACCAGACATATAGTTAACCAGGCACTAAGCAGTTCAGCCCTTGCCACAAGGGGTGCTGACTAGGTGACTGACGGGGACTGGGCGTCTGGGGTGCCAGCGGTCCTTGGGAGGAGGTGGGCCGGTTCGCGCTGGGCCCTGCCTGGAGGAGGCCCCATTGGCCAACCCTGCTTGGAAGCCTTACCCCACCAGGGTGGGGGGGCACAAAGTCGGATGACCTGCTCTGGAGACTGGGCCCCTTTCCCAAGAAGGGTGCCAGGGCGCGCCACCCCCTCCGGGTGACCCGGAGTGAGGTTAGGGTGCTCGATGACGGACAGCCCTGAGCCCTCAGGCCAGTGGGGCTTACTGCCAGGCCGGGCTGCCTATCAGTCCCTGGGCGTGAACTGTCCCACCTCCCGGGTGCCAGCTGATGCTCCTGCATGCCCACTCCCCTGCCACTCACCCAATTAGCACCCTCTGGCGAGGGCTTAACCATCTCATGCCTCTTGGACCCTGGCCGAAGGAGCGGGGGCGGCGGCACACCAGAAGCCTGTGTGCTCAGCCACAGGGCTGGATAGGTGACTGAATTCCAAGGCTCCAGGCCCTACAATCAGGGTAAGCTATTTCAGGGGACACAGGAGCACGTGCTGGTAGGTTCTAGGGTGTGCTGGCAGCCCGCGCCCTCCCATCCTCTCCTTCAGGTCCTGATGACCCTGACCCCATCATGTCTCAGGCCTTTACCACCGCCAGCCGAAGTCTAGCCCTGTCACCTGGGCCTCAACATGCAGGGTGCGACAGTCCCCCCAAACCCCCCTGCCCGGGTCCCCGCGCCAGCCCCCCTGCGCCCCCAGAGCCTGGCTGGGCCCACAGCTCTCCCTGCCGCCGCCCCTGCCCTGCACCCTCTCCTCCCTGGCCCGAGGGACCCCTTCAAACTTCAGGTCTGGTTTGGGGACCCACACAACCCCCACGGCTTCCCCTGCACATAGCAAAGCCCAGGGGCGGGGAAGGCCTGTCTGGAAGCGCGCTGGGTGTGCCAGGTGGCCCCAGGTGCCAAAGGAGGCGACGGCCCGAGAACGAGGCAGCCGAGCCCAGCGCGTGGATGAGTGAGTGTGGAGCCCACGACAGAAACGCAGTCCATGCAGCGGCAAGAAGAAACGGATCCCCGCACCCCACACCCCGCACCCCGGCTGGGCGCTCACATCTCCTAACAGGGAGACTGCGGGATGGTCAAAGGGGTCAGACGCCAGGAGGCTCTGGTGCCAAGGTGAGTCAAGACAAGATCAAGGGCAACCTGCCCCAGGGAGAGAACTGACGGGAATCCTGTGACCAGCCCGGAGCTGCCCCAGGGGCGGGGGCGGCACCGGGTTCCCCCCGGTGTCAAGATGGCGGGTTAGCTTTCAGATGGAGCCCTCATGTCCTGCACGCTCTAGACGCCCTTTGGTCTCCACCTGCATCTCCCTCCCTCCAGCACACCAGCCCCTCTCAGCCCACCCTGCTGTACTTGCTCCTTGGAGCACCTGGGGCACCCTCTCGGGCATCCTGGCAGCGCCCGCCTCTGCTCCCTCTGTTCAGGTGTGTGCACTTTCCATGGCCACCTACCCAAGAGCCCTCCTTAGTTACGATCTGTTCTTTAACTCAGATCTGTTGTTCAGTTCTTCTGGCTACCTAAGGTAGCAGGGTCTGATCAGAAGAACAGAACCAGTAGGATATCTGTCCATCTGTCTGTCAGTCCGTCCATGCATCCATCCACCCACTAACCCCACTCACCCACCCATCCACCCATCCACCCGTTTTCTATGGATCTGTTACGGGGAATTGGCTGCCACAATCATGGGACTGTGAATCCCACGCAGTCCCTGTGAGACTCCTCATCTGATGCCGGGGCTTAAAGTCTGCAAGGTGGGCAGACAGGAACGAAGGGTCATGAGCAGTGGGACCTCTCAAGGAGGGACTGAGCCCCGTCTTCATGTTCGTTGCCTCTGCCCTCTTCCATAAGGGGGTCCTTCAGAAGCAGGGCCCTTTGTCATGGAGCTCACTGCTCACTCCTGGCCTGCTGCTGCGCCCACAAGGTAAATAGGCAGAGTGGCCGCTAACTCCTCTCTGTGCTCCAGAATCTCCCAGGAACCTGCCTTTGGCCCACTCCAACTAGAATGCACAAGAAAGGGAATTCTGGGGGTATTCACCAGCTACCTTGACATGTTGCAAATCTTGCCACCTCGTATGGCACATGCCAATCTGTTCATTATCTGTCTCCTGCCCCCAAGGACAGTACCGTCATCTGCTGTGAGCTGAGCAAGCATTTGTGAAATGGATGGATGGGTCAGTAGTTGAGTGGATGGATGGGTAGGTGGGTGGATGAATGGATGGTTGGATGAGGAAATGATGGACAGATGGATGGATGGGTGGGTGGATGGTGGATAGGTAAGTGGGTGGATGGATATCCGGAGATCATTATTGTTTTACAGAGTCATTATCCACTTAGATTCATCTACATATGTCTGCTCTTCTCCGTGCTTCGTTCCCTCTGGCATTTCCATGCTTCCATCAGAGATCGACGTCTCTCTGCTAGAAAATACCCCTTTAGTATTTCCTCTAGTGCGTGCTTTCTGGCAATGAACGCTAGATGATTGGCTTTTTCTGGATATCTTTATTTCATTTACATTTTTACACAAAATTTTAATTGGTACAGAACTTTATGTAGGCCGTCAATTTCTTTCGGCATTTTGTAGATGTTATTCCGTGGGCACCTGGCTTCCGTGTCGCTATTGCCAAGTCCGATGTCTTTTTCTCCTTTAAATATCTGATAGTCTCTTTGCTTTTGGTTCTCAGCAGGCTTACGATTATATAGTCAAGTGTGGTTTTTGCATTTATTCTGATTTGGGTTGGTAGTTTCTCCGTAATCTGCGGTGTGTTATCTTTAGTGAATTTTGAAAAATCCTCTTTTATTATCCCTTCAAATGTTTCTGGACTATTCTTTCCTTCTGGGATTCCGTTTTACAAAAATGTTAGATCTTTCCACCATGTTGCATCTATCTCTTAGGCCTTTCACTATATTTTCCATACTTTTTTCTGTTTTTGTCTGAATATTTTCTTCTGACCCATCTTCCAGTTCATAATCATCTCTTTCATTGTGTCTAATCTGTTGTCAAAACCATCTTCCAAATTCATAATTTCACAGACTGTATTTTTGTTTTCAAGTTT